GACCATGCCCCCGATTTTTCATAGAGCTATGGTTGCGATATGAATATGGCATAATTAAGATGTCCTTGATGCAAGATGGGTCGGGTGAGACGTCATCGGCAAGGTTACGATTTACTGCACGCGATTATCCTACTCGGGTGCGGGCAGGGCCTGCCGACGGCAGGGAGGGTGCAGGAAGAGGGAACTGCCCTGCCGTGTGTTGATTTGAAAGGGTCCGAGGCGTCTGGGTGCCAGCACCGCTACCGTAGCCGCGTCTGGGGCCCTAGGCCATACTCTTGGCTCCAGGCAGTGCTAAAAGCTGGTTGGTGGGGGATGAGGATCTGAGACCTCTTCTGTCCGAGGCTCCGCCCCTTCCAGGAGCACAGAGATAGCCCCCCACCTTGTCCAGGGGCCCAGCAATTCTGTCTGCCCCCCTATAGACAGGTATTTTAGTATCCGAAGTTAGGAATATTGTCTATGCATCCGTTACCCGCTAGAGAGGATGCAATCAGTCTAGTTGACTGGCTGGGAAGGGGCATTAGGAAGACGGGTAAGCCTTTTTGGGAGACGCTGATGTCTCACCGGGGCGCCTTCCTGAAAAGTCTTCCCGAGGATGTTACAGACAGCCTCAGTCTCATGGGTGCTGTGGCCCTACAGAGCCACGTGACCGAGACACATGATACTAGACACCGTGACTGGTGTTTTTCCACCGATTGTCGAAGCTTTCTCCATCATTACTGGAACTAGTTTTCAATGTATAATGGAATGTTTCTGCGTAGGAAAATACTCGTTGCTTGCAGGCAATACACTTCATGGAAACGTGCCGATTTTGATGAAATTTTGTTTTTTTCAATTTGTTTAAAGTGTTTTGATAAGGCCCATTTTGACCTCTTCGGAATTGAATGCTTCTACTTTCTAATTCCAAACAACTTTTCATTTAAATTACATTCCATACGTTTTAAAATGTCAAAATTGCAACGCAACATTTTGATGTAATCTAAATAGAATGATTCAATGGACTCAAAATGAATGATCAGATTTTTTTCCCCAGGAAATTCAGAACTTTTTTCCATTTGTTTTTCTTTCCATTTTGGAAAGGAAATTGAGAAATCATGAAATTTCCCACTCAACAGTTGACTTCTCCATAGCAAGCAAAAATTCTACAGACACTGACAATTTCTTACCAAAAAAAGAAAGGTAATTTATTTAGCTCAATCAACTGTTAATTTGGGGAAACATAAACATCAAATGTAAACAAGACTACACATAACCTTAGTATATGAGCAAAGATATTCATTCAATTATTGGGGAAAGATTAAACGTAGTCTACTGCATTTTTTCTAAACAAGAGGTCCAATGTCCAACCCTCTGTGCCCAAAATTGTTTAAAAACCAGATTTGGGGATATTTTCATAAAGAAAAGCTCATGAACAGGTCATTGATGTTGATATTTATGAGGTCAGATTATTCATTAGGGTGAAATTCACCAGTATGCACATGGACAAAGCAACTCTTCAGGTTTCTCAAAGCGTCTCTTCAAGAGGGATTCTGTCAATATCTAGATGCTGCAAAAATATCTGTAACAATCCTTTAATGTTTCATGAATTTTAGCATACATTGTTATCGATTAAAAGATTCTCATCAGAAGAGCACTGTTAATTCTGGGTTAATCTCACATTCAAAACATATGTCACTCGGGCCAGGTCAACACTACAGGGGAAAGCTGAATTAAGATACACAACTCCAGCTATGTTAATTACGTAGCTGGAGTCGATGTATCTTAAATCGTGTTTCTGCGCCATCCACACAGCGGAACAGAATCGTGTTTCTGCGCCATCCACACAGCGGGACAGTGACGGAAGCAAATGCTCCCATTGGCTTCCCTTACTCCTCGTGGGAAGCAGGAGTTCTGCCCATTGGCTTCCCTTACTCCTCGTGAGAAGCAGGAGTTCTAGCACCAACAAAGGCGCCTTCTGAGTTCAATTTAGCATGTCTATACCAGACCTGCTAAATCGAACCCCAGTGTCAATCTTCCACATAGTGCAGACATGCCCTCAGAGAGCAGAAACATATCACCCCACTTAGAGAGAGAGCATCACATTTTAACTGGCAAGAATATTACTCATTCGAATAGTTATTAGCAACCAACTACTTACAGAAATCGGGGCCAGACTGCGAATAATTGCTCATTCTGAAAAAATGTAGAATATTAATACCATATTCAGCCCTAAGTTCACCTACATTTTTCATAACACTTTCTTTTATCAAAGCAACTGAGATGCGATGGAAACAGACAGATGCCTGCATTAGACATACCATATTACAAGATAAATTACATGGATTATGTAAAATGTTAGGTCCTATTTTTAAAAAGATGCTTAAATACTTGATTTATACAAAAACCAATCTGTTCCCAGGGAACCTCATAAAGGCAAAATTGTGCTCTCCATGCAAAATTTCTGCCGTCCTAGCTATGAATGAAACTGGGTCCTGCAGAAATAATGCAATGTGATTAAAGATTGCGTAGTAGCATACTGTATTTTCAACAGATCAGCAGCAACATTGTACAAGTGACCTCAACTTTGGTACTTCCTGATTTTTTTGGGGGGAAGGTGCTTTACTTTGCAGCCTTACACAGTTACATAGCCTCTTATCTTAACATAGATTGTTTTTAAAGACACACGGTAAAATAAAGTCTTATATGGTCAGTTTGGCTGGGGAGCACAAGAATACCCTAAGACAAGTGTAATAAGGGCTTGCCATAATTCCAGGTGTATGCTAGGCCGTTATTTCAAAGGAATAACTCCCGAAATAACTATTTCGAAATAAGCGTATTCCTCTTCACAAGCGGGAGTTATTCTTTCAAAATAACAAGACCCTTATTTTGCACGAACACGGCGAGCATCCACGTGTCACAAGCGGGAGTTGTTCTTTCAAAATAACAAGCCCCTTATTTTGCACGGACAAGGCGAGCATCCACGTGGCCAAGCCTGTTATTTCGAAATAAGGGGAGCTATTTCAAAATGACTCCCCAGCGTAGACATGCCCTCCGTGTGCAGCCGAGGGCACAATTTTGCCAAAATCCACCAAAGCCGAAGCGTCAACTTACAATCCGAAGCAAAAAGGAACGAGCGAGGAAAGTGATTTTAGAATACAAGGGAGAGATCTTCAGAAGAACCTAAGGGATTCTGGAGCTCAAATACTAGCTTCTTTCAATCAAAAGGGGAAGGGGGTAACCTAGGGGAGAAGGAGGCTCCCTGCATGTGGACTGGATTTTAGAGCCTGGGCCAGGGGTTAGGCATTTGGGGGGCAGGATTGGGGGTGACTCTGGATCTGAGAGAGATTTCACAATTGAGTAGGGTTGGGAAAAGGGGCTGGGGATGGGGCTGCACGTCAGAGGAGGTAGTTATTGAGCTAAGGGGGTGTTTCTTCTTCTTCCTTTTGTCATCCTCCCCACACGTAGCTGCCCCCTCCTTTCCCACCACGCTGACCTTGCTGGCTATGTCCTTCCCTCATCAGCGTCTCTCTTCCGCTGACTACGTGGTAGCGTCTGACCGTTTCAGAGGCGGGACCCCACCTCGGCACCGTTGGGCACCAATGCCTGGCTGTGACGTCATCAGAAAGGCCCAACCAGCCCACGAGGAGGCGGCTTTGGCCAATCCGGTCACGAGTTTCAAAAAAACGAGGGGCGAAACGTGTAGCTCTGCAGTCCCTATGCGGGAGCCTCAAGGAGGGGGCTGAGGCCCCGACAGCTTCCGTTGACGTCACGGAGACCTGCGGAGGGCTCCTCGCACCCAAAACAAAGTGTCTGAAGAAACCTACCTATACATTTTGTCTTTGGTGTTTGTACCCAGAGACTAATGACAGACAGGCCACAAAGGGGCAGAAGGAAACCCAATTCCCACTGACCTGCAATGGGCGTTGGACACTTAGCTTATTTTGAAATAGCCATGCAGCGTAGACGTAACCTATTCCGGAGTAGTTATTCCGAAATAGCACGTCTACACCGCAGAGAAGCCTCAAAATTAGACCAAGGCAGGCTTCCCGAACGTGGACATGCTATCTCGATTTAGAGCCCCGGGAGGCACTGGGGAGGAATAATTTAGAATGGCCCTTGGGAGGGGCTATTTCAACATAGCAGCAGGGGCGCGTCTACACACGCCTTATTCCGAAACAGCTATTTCGGAATAGGCGTTATTCTTCATAGAATGAGGTTTACAGATTTCGGAATAAGCCGCCCGTTATTTCGAAATAATTTCGAAATAACGGAATGGCTGTGCAGACGGTCGCACAGTTGTTTCGGAAGAACGGCCGTTATTCTGCAATAACTTTGCTGTGTAGACGCACTCTCGTGTGCTTCTGAAAATCCCAGCCCAGGTCTCCTTCCTGGCAGAGCGCGCTGCTGTGCGTGTTTACCAGGCATCGAAGAGAGAACGGCCCCGGAGCTTAGCACCAAAAGCCCGTGGAGAAGGGGGATCCGTTCTCAGCAATCCAGAGAGCAGGAAGAAGTGAGATGGTCCCAACTCATCACATGCTAGAGAACTGTACGCTCAGCCCCCTACCTCCACAGCCCTGACCTAGGCAAGGTTGTAAAGGGTTGGGAGGAAGCTGGTGGGTGAGGGGAGGGGATGTTTTGACTGGAGCTGAGTGGGAAACGGCTTTGTTTTGACTGGAGCTGGGTGGGAAATGGCTTTTCTAGCCCTACATAACTTTATATCTATATACATGCCATCCTGAATCTGGACGATAAATCAAAATCTTGACAATCTTCACAAATCGGGAGCGGGGAGCACAGGGGCTGACACGGGTTCGGGTCAATTAAAATGGTTTGTTTCGAGAATTTCAAAACATTTTGTTTCCGCGTTGACCATTGTTAATTCTTTATTTGTGTTTAACTATCATTAGCTTCAATTTCAAAACGAAAAAAGGCGTTTTGCTCCGGACTTTTTTATTGAGAAAAATATCCAAATGAAATGTTCTGACCATTTCGAAACTTTTG